TGAAAACTGCTGACAAACTTGGAGCATATCTCTCTGCCCAGGTGAGAATGTAGTTCACCTCCTTCTGAGCACCTTGACTCCTGGTACCACCCTGGTGGTTGATGTATGCCACTGCTGTGGTATTTTCGGACTGAATCCCTACAGGCTAACCCTGAAGCCTGGATGTCCAATAACTCAGAGCCAGCCTCACTGCTCAAAGTTCCAAGACATTGATGGGAAGAACCCTTTCACATGGAAGCCATGTTCCTTAAACTGTGGCCTCCTCCAGCACAGCCCCCCAACTTGAAAGGCTGGCATCGGTGGTTACCAACTTCCACACCACTGGATGCAGTAATCCAGGGCCGGAATTGTCTTGTTCCAAACAGACAGAATGTACATTTGCAGTGGTCTGGAGTGGAATTGGGCATTGGGAAAAGCCTCGAATGTGGATACCATCTTCCCTTGCAACCTCATACAGAGGCGAATTGAAGGATACCTCTTGGCCTTCAAACTGCAAACCTTATTCCTCAGTCACAACGTTTCCTTAGAGGCAGATATATTGGTACATGAAGGTATGCTTCCCTGGTGTCTATAGACACTAAAAAAAATCTCCTTCCTGTAGGGAGGCCACTACTGACTGAACCAATTCCATACAAAAAGACCGGACAGTTAGAAACTGATTTAGCCCCTTGAGGTCCAAAATGGGCCTTACATCCACATTTTGGTTTTGGGACTGTAAACAGGTTTGAATAAAACCCCTGGAACCTTTCATCCGCTGGAACCTCTGTGATCACTCCCTGAGACAATAGGCAATCGAGTTCCTGAAATAAAGCTCTTCTTTTCTCTGGATTTATAGGTACATTTGATTTTAGAAACCGGGAAGGAAGAAAGACCCAAAATTCTAGTCTGTACCCCAGAGAGATCGTGGAAATGACCCATTTGTCTTGCATTAGAACCCTCCATGCAGCCACAAAATTTAAAAGCCTTCCCCCACCCAAATGCCAATAGCTGCCACTGCTGGCTGTGCGGCAGAACCTACCAGCGAAAAGGAGCTCTTAAGGAGAGATTCTAGCTTCTTATCTGCTTGATCCTTGAAAACCTGGACATTATCCACAGGACATGTTAAAGATTTATTCAGAGATGAAACAGCTGCATCCACTACAGGCAAACCCCATTTCTTCCATGGGGTACAACAAAGTAAACCTCTCTGGTGGAACAAAAACCCTGTCTGGGTGATCCCAGTCAGCATACATAATTTGCTCCAGAAGAGGATGCACCGGAGAGGCCTGAGTACTTTGTGGAGGCTTCAAAGAGCCCAGAGAAGAATAAATAACTTCCGAGGTTTCTATCAGAGGTAGCCTGAATCCAGACCGTACCATATCAGTGAGGTTCTGGACTAAAAATCTCTGAGACTGGGAGGCAGAGACCGCCTTCTTCTCCTCAGGCTGTGACTTCGCAGACAGAGATTCTACTGCCTAACCTTCCTCCAGTTCTTCCTTCTCCTCAGGCTCCACCCATTCCTGCTCCAGTATTGGTGGTTCTAATGACGGGATCTATCCCGTTTCTTAGTCCCCTGAGAAACTGATGCAATCATCCCAGCAATCTTATCTTCTAACCCCACTAAGGCTGAAACAAGGTCATCCTTGGTTACATATGCCGAAGCAGATGTCCCAGTAGTAGCCACAATACCAGATAGACACAGCGGCTCAGACTGCCCAGTCACTTCTGACCTCTCAGGAGAGTATAATACAGCGGACCTACGGCTAGGTTCCTCAGGACCCTTTCTTCAGTGCCCTTTCCTGCTGCACCCTCCCCACTCCTCTCTCTGGATGACATTACTTCAGATAGTGTAAAACCTGTGCACCTTCACTAGTAAACACAGACCACAAGATACAGCTATGCAAGTAGTGTGTTGAATAAAAACACTCAGTGCTACTGCTGACTTTATGAGCCACCAAGAACGGTTCCTGACTGACTGGCCATTGCTTCCTCAGGGGACTACTCACGTGCCCCACTGAATGGCCTGCTCTGTGTCCTGGCCACAGGAATCCCTCAGCAGCAGCAGCAGCCCATGTGTGTCCTGCCCTCCAGAAAAACATATGGCCGACTTCTGTTTCTGGCCGCTACTGTGCATGCGTGTGTGATCGTCTTGCACGGGACAGACAGAGAGGTGAGCGAAGACCCTGAAAGGTGCTTTGTGGGGATAGAAGATTTTCAACTCAACCTCCACCCCCCCTGAGTTTGTTACAGACAGAGCAGTCATTCCAAATGCTGGATCAAGATTAGAATCAGATAAGTATTTTGGAGATGAGGGCACACATAAAAGATTTTTTACTTTAAAGTGATTTTAAAGCTTTACATTTTTAAGTTAAATTAATAAACATGTAAAATGTACCTAATTACAATGTTTTTGCACAGAGCAACCCCAATCCTCTGCTTCTGGGGTCCTCTGTCATCGCTCCTGGCTCCTCCCCTCCACCGGGTGTTTACTATAGGAAGTCGCTTCCTATGGGAGCACTTGTGCATGCTTGATCTCGAGCTGGGCTGTTTGCATCTATTCAGACACACAGCTCGGCTCCACCCCCTACTCTCTGCTCACAGGTTTTGACTGACAGCAGCAGGAACCAATAGCTCATTTTATCAATAGTGAATATATGTTTTTGTCAAGCCCATGGCTGGGTTCAGTCAAAAAAAAAAAATGTGCCTATAGTCACACCATTAAAAAATCACTAGACTACTGCAATAAAACTAATTAAGATAAATAAGATCTTGTGAGAGATCTGCATACCGAAGTTTAATTCAAAGTGCGAGTGACAATGGTAATACTTACACATGTAAGAATCTGAACATATATTTAGCTGCACAATTTACATTATACTTTGCGGAACAAATAGCAAAGGTTTAAAACACCAACAAGCCAACTGCTTATCTTTTTTCTGACTAATCCATATCAATTTGAGTCTGAAAAAGTAAGGTTCTTACTTAATGGGGTATAAATGTAGAAAACATAAAATGAATGCATAAATAGCAAGCAATTTGCTTAGTTAAGCTTCAGGAAGACAGGTGCACTAGCTAGGTTTTGTATAGATATAGAGTCAACATTACAAAAAAGTATTTTTGACTTGCTAAAAGAATTTGTTGAAATATTTCAATTTTCAATCTAGCTTAAAAAAAATTAAATAAAGTATAAGATGCACGCTACAAAATAGTGTTCTATTTTGATACAAGGAAAAGTAGAGCAAAAGTATGACGCTGACAAATTCTATAAATCTAAACTTATACATGATTAAATACCCAACTCTATGCAGGAATTAAGGTCAATACACATGTCATTGTAAGTCCATGTAGAAGAGTGTACACAATCCATGTTATAAGGAAACCGCAATGGAAATGAAGTAGTCAAAGTTCCTAAAAGGGAAAAAAGAAAAAAAAAAATCTATCTATGATCTACATCTATGATTTCCTGCAGACATGTTACAATGGCTATATACTAAATACTATATTATACTAATTGTTATGATCACATGACCAAGAACCATGCTGTGGTTTTATTACAGCATGATCAATAGGGTGCACACAATTAAATCCGAGGAACTCTTACAGTGTTACATGCATGCCCCCTCCCTAACATATTTTATATAAACGTTGGATCAGTTTGGTGTAGATACTATATATATTTACAATAAATATATTATTTCAGCAAGTTATACAAACTAAACTTTTGTAAATGTAATGGTACATTAAAAAATGTGTAAACATATTTTAAGTAAATCTGTAGTTACAGCTATTGCAGTCTAGCTTTTTTAAAATGCAGAAGGAAATTCTGTGCAAATTGTCTTTAAGGACCCACATCAGCCAAACCCCGAAGTTTCTACTTTTGGGAGATGGTGAAGTTAAACTAACTGTTATCCACATCTCGAAGAGACTCTGGTAACGATACACTTAAAGTGTTACTAAACCCAGGACCCTGCATTCACTCTATCTGTTCTTCCACAGTACACAGAACACGGAAATGCAATTATTTTAGTAAATATAAATTTCTAAATATATTTTCTCATAAGCAATTAGAGCAGTCTTGTGACTTCTATCAGTGTCCAGCAGAGCACTGGCTAAAGCTTGTAGGAGGAGTTTTCATTCTCCCCTATGAGGCTGCATGACACCTGACCCTCTGTCTGGATAGCGCTGATTGGCCTTGTGCTGATCACATGCACATTCCCAAGGAGAAAAACTCTAGCAATATACACCAAACGGAGCACGTGCAGCTTGCCCCCAGGCTCTGTTCTATCAGGAGATATACTGAGGACAAGAGAAGGGGAGGATCAGAGAAGACAGGATCAAACATCTTTTTTACACAATGCGGAAGATTAACTCCTTAGATTCCACAGTGAGTATAAGAAGCATGCTTTTCTGCATATACAGACTGAATTTACTGTTGTGGGTTTAGTAACATTTTAAACCAAACTGTGAGAGTCTATTCAAGTGAAAGCAACAAGTATGATTTAATGTAGCTTTCTCCTCAAAGGCCACACAATAAAAGAACCGCCAGAACTACAGTACAAGGCTTCCTTGACCATCTGAGAGAACTAACAGGAATCCAGACCCAATGAGTGAGGTCAAGGGCATTTCTGCAATCTGGCACTCAGTCATGTATCCCTGTCTCCTATTCAGTACTTGTGTTTATACTGCATAATCCACGCAGTATTCTGATAGGTATGCCTAGATTATACTCAAGCACAAACCTATAGATGCATTGTACTGCAGCAGTGAAACCTTGAATCACTGTTACAGGCAAGTTTTAACCCATCCTGGTATTGAATACTGTCTCTAAAAGGCTTTGATGGTGGAATTACTGTACACAAGGTCCCAATTCTGCACTCCTGCCAAGCTCATGCCAATACAGATGGGGAACTGAGACTTGAAATGATACATTCTAATGTGATGGACAGGGGTACAAGGTGGGAACTTTGGTGAAGAAAACCCACCAAGAGTCTTGAAGAGTATATTCGGTGAGTAGCTGATGCCTAAAAGGCATACCCAAAGCTGCAAAATAAATTGGACTGAGCTTTTAAGAAAAATAAGCAATTAAAAAGTTTCTTACATGTGAAATACTGGTTAATCACTTTGATCCGTGTCTGTTTTCCTGCTTCGGTGTTCTCCTCTCGTGAAACAGGTGGCACTGGTGGTGGTGCTTCAAGATCATCAAGGATGTCAACATGCTGATTTCGGCTGACAGCTAAATTGTGTAAAATACAGCATGCCAGTATAATCTGTGCTCCTTTTTCTGGAGAATACTGTAGTACACCCCCTGACCGATCAAGACACCGGAAACGACTTTTTAGAGATCCAAAGGTGCGCTCAATAACTGAATGGGCAGTCTTGTGTGCTGCATTATAATTCTTTTCTGCTTTCGTTTTCGGATATTTTATAGGTGTGAGAAGCCACTTTGTCACGGGATAGGCATCATCACCTAGAAATAAAAACAAAAATTGTGTTTTAACTTTAGTGATAAAGAATAATATAAACTATCACATATATAACCAGTCTTCCATGATACATTCAATACAAGTAGAAATATGGTTAGAACTGTTCAATACTAATGCTTCACAAAGCATTTGTAGCGTTGTCATACCGAACCAAAGATTGTACTCAGCAGCTATTTACTAGTATACATCTTTATAGCCATCTTGCTCTTAAATATGAACTCCAGGCAAGGAGCTAGATAATCATTTAAGATACATATATGAAAGTTATTATACCTGCCAAAAGGTTTGTAACTTTGTTTAACCTGTCTTGAGGTTAGCACAGTCCTGATGGCCACTTTTCTATGTTGCAGTTAAACAATACAGCCTGGTCAGCTCCCAGCCAGTGTTTGGGCATTGAAGGAGATGCAGAAGACAGATGAGGTCATCATTTTACTCTTTGCAACTCCCAGCATGTTCTGTGAGTTTACATGTAAATGCAGCAGTCTGATTGGCTCTGAGAACTGACCCATCCTCTTCTATGGCTCAGTGCTGCTTTACAGTGTACCAAAAGGTTGATAACTAGATGGGTTCAGGTACTTCAATTAGTTGAAATTAAAACGATATTTATTTGATGTTCCATGAAATGCTCAGCACTCTAAACATCAATCCTACTTTTCACTGGGGGTACATTGGGTGCAGACTATGGAAGCCCATCCTTGCTCCATTGTGCAATCTATTCATGAAGCAATGGATATCGTATGACGTATTTCACCATTACCAGCTTAACCCAAACAGCAAGCTCGGAAGGGTGAAATGCATTAGAAATGAGTGATTCTCAGGTGAGGCTATGCAGCATGCAGGTGAATAAAGTTTTATGAAAGGAAGTGTTGTCATTTGTGTGCGGCCCATTGCCTCGTGAATACATTTTTTGATATTCAATTTAAACATATCTGTATAAATGGAGTTTGTAATATCTGAATGGGATTTAGCTGAAATTCTATCTATCTATCCATTGAGTCGTATCCGACCCTTGGCGATTGCATGGACCGTCACTCATAAGCGACTTTTTACATGAATTCTCTAAGCAATTATTTTATAGGGTAGGTTGCCAGGTCTTTCCCAACCCCTACCATGCAGGAGATCCCGCATGGCCAGGGATGAAACTAGGACAATTTAGACAGGAGCCAACCTACCAGCATGTCTTTGGAGTGTGGGAGGAAACCGGAGTACCCTGAGGAAACCCACGCAAACACAGGGAGAACATGCAAACTCCATGCAGGAGGCGCCATGGTTGGGAATTGAACCATGACCCAATTACTGCAAGGCAGAAGTGCTAACCACTAAGCCACTGTGCCGCCCAGCTGAAATTAGTATGGGCAAATAAGAGGAAGAATTTTTGATGTACAATAGCTCATGATTGTTATGGCTTAAAGCCCAATTAAACTTTCAGCCTAACATATCTATTTCTACTTAGGCTACACAAAACCTATGATGCTTAAATATCTGTTACCTTTTTTATTAAAGAGTCGTGACACCAATTCAGACTAATTTTCTCCAGACAAGAGACTACAGAGAAGGATTACTGCTATCTGTTTAGCGTAAATTATATTTTACTGGGTTCTGACTTGATGTGCATGCAGGTATTTTAATACCTGGTATGTATGAGATGCCACATAGAGGACTCCTGAGTCCCCGAGTGATGTACCTAATCACTTCCCTGGCATGCTCATATATTCTTGCCTGAATTTTGCTCCAGGAGAAAAAGCTTGCTATGGGCTCCTCTGTAGAGCATATGTGGCATTACAGCATCTGTAGACAGCATCATCTGTGGTCTGGATAACTGGAAGGGAAAAAAGAAGCCTGAAGATTCAAAGCTGGCACTGATGAAGGAGCAGTAAGAGACAGAAGGGCATGTGAAAGATGGTGCCAAAAGTGATTATATTTTGAGGGGCTTGAATACTTTAAACTTTTAAATTTGAGTTTCATTGCCCTGTTTGTTTGCTTTAATGACAGCAACAACTTTCAGACTTGTTCACACTTTTGCCCTATAAAAGATTTCAAAGTGCATCTCAGTGCAGTGACATACAGTCAAGAAACAACCCCTCTCACTGCATATCAGGCAAAGCACACACCTAAACTGCTTCCAACAGGAGGTTTTGGATCTTATGGCCAATTTTTTTCCACAGTGTCAATTCTGAAGTATAAACACTCCTTTCACTTTTGTGAGCTGTAATATACATGGGTAAATGCAAAATTGTAGGGAAGCCCTTACTTTGTACGGTTATATATATTAGAGGTCAACCTGTAGATGGAGAAATAATGAATGGGGCATCCAATTACAATAGAACATAGTTTACGAATATTTCAACTTTATGAAGTGATGAAAGGGACATCCAATTACATCAAAACATAGTTTACAAATATTTAAACATTACAAACATTTAAATTAAAAATTAATTATCCTAAAATAACTGAAGATAAAAATTAAGGTTCTTAGATGAACGATCTGATACTACTGTATAAAAAGGGAACTTCAAAGTGGAAGAGTTTGTCAGCACAAACATTCTAAAAAGGTTCTTTCAGGAGAAAAGTAAGTGCAAAAAAATCAGTTCACCAGTTAACTGTAAGTTATGTTTTTTTTCTAAGATGAAAGGCCACATATTCTAAACACAGATGCTTCTCAGCTTACGCAAGGATTACATTCTTCAAAAGGCATAGTTTTAAGTAGGATATGTTCATTTCAACATGCATTGGCCCACTTTGGAAAAAAGTCTTACGTCATTCATTTTCCTCGCATTTTGACTTCCCACTGAAGACGTGCATGTTATACAGTGCATGCAATACAGGAAAGAATAGTGCTGGAATATAAGACTTGCTGTCCTTCAGCCATTTTTATTTGTGTACTTAGTGTGTAAACAGTTTATAGACAGTCTTAGGTGGTAGCAAAGGAACCCAGCAAAAACTTCCATGACCTATTTCAAAAGGCTCAGTTCAATAAAGCTGCGTCTACAGATATAGATTATTTTCGTTCAGCCTGTGGGCTAACTGATCTCCGCGTCCACACTGTACAACACAGATGGAGGAAACTCTCACTATGGCTATTGTATTCTGACAGTCACTACCACTACCTTTCAGAATACCTGAACAGAGGCTGCATCTGAATGAATGCAGCTTCTCTTCGGCTAACAATCTACCCGACTCCTTTGATTTTTCATTCAAAGGATATTGGGTGGGAGGCAGCCAACAGGGGCACTCGCATAACAAATTTCAGCTGGTTGCTCAGGTATCGGCCACAATTCCTATAGTGTGTACGCAGCCTTAGATATAAATATGTTATGCAGGAAACTCTGGTCAGTGACATTGAGCCTGCAATTTTAATATGTTCAGCATCACTGTGATGACTGTGTATATAGTGCACTGCTACCACGAGGTTGGAGGGGGTAGTGTCACAGATGGCCACCTCAGGTTGCATCTGCCCCTGGAACAGCCTTAGCAAATCCAATACACTAGTTTATTAGCCTGACCTGTTCCAATATGAAGCCTTATGACGATGGATAAGCAGGGAGAGATGAAACAGAATTTGACCTAAATGCTAGTACACACTATGAGAAAATCAGCTGATCGATCGTTCGCCTTTCCACGAAAGCGCATATCATGATGTAGACGGAATGGTATGGTATGGAAAATTCTTGGCCGACAAAGGCAAACGTAAGAAAACATAGCTATGTACTAGCGCAGTAGAAGAGGAAGTGGAGGTTTGCTCTATGCTTCTGATAATTTTTTTCCATTTGATTATCTCTGTATGATTACTGTATGATTGTCCAAAAAGTCAGAATCAGCTGTTGAAAGCAGTATACTAACAATCAGATAATTGGCTGAAATTTCCCCGTATGGAAATTTTCGCACAATTTTCTTGTGTGTACGGGCCATTTGAATGCCTCCAAGGCTTTCATAACAGCAGATGCAGATTATGACCACTAAGAATGCCAAATATACAGTGGATATAAAAAGTCTACACACCCCTGTTAAAATGTCAGGTTTCTGTGATGTAAAAAAATGAGACCAAGATATATAATTTCAGAACTTTTTCCCACCTTTAATGTGACTTATAAACTGTACAACTCAACTGCAAAACAAACTCAAATCTTTTAGGGGGGGGGGGGGAAGTAAACATAAAAAACTATGTGTGCACACCCACTTATAACTGGGGATGTAGCTGTGTTCAGAATTAAGCAATCACATTGAAAATCATGTTAAATAGGAGTCAGTACACACCTGCCATCATTTAAAGTGCCTCTGATTAACCCCAAATAAAGTTCAGCTGTTCTAGTAGATCTTTCCTGGCATTTTCTTAGTTTCATCCTACAGAAAAAAGCCATGGTCCACAGAGAGCTTCCAAAGCGTCAGAGGGATCACATTGTTAAAAGGTATCAGTCAGGAGAAGGGTACAAAAGAATTTCCAAGGCATTAGACATAACATGGAACACAGTGAAGACAGTCATCATCAAGTGGAGAAAATATGATGCAACAGTGACATTACCAAGAACTGGATATCCCTCCAAAATTGATGAAAAGATGAAAAGAAAATTGGTCTGGGAGGCTGCCAAAAGGCCTACAGCAACATTAAAGGAGCTGCAGGAATATCTGGCAAGTACTGGCTGTGCGGTACATGTGACAACAATCTCCCATATTCTTCATACATCCAAGCCCGGCTAAATTTAGCAAAAACACATCTGAAGTCTCCCAAAAGCATGTGGGAAAATGTGTTATGGTCTGATGAAACAAAGGTTGAACTTTCTGGCCATAATTCCAAAAGATATGTTTGGCACAAAAACAACACTGCCCATCACCAAAAGAACACCATACCCACAGTGAAGCATGGTGGTGCCAGCACCATGCTTTGGGGATGTTTTTTTCAGCTGGAACTGGGGCCTTAGTCAAGGTAGAGGGAATTATGAACAGTTCCAAATACCAGTCAAAACTGGCACAAAACCTTCAGGCTTCT